CTGATCCCTTGTCCATCCTGTGGGTGCTGTGGGACTGCATTTGGGATGATCTGATCCCTTGTCCATCCTGTGGGTGCTGTGGGACTGCATTTGGGATGATCTGATCCCTTGTCCATCCTGTGGGTGCTCTGGGACCGCACTGAGGATGATCTGCTCCATGACCTTGCCAGGCACTGGGCTCAGGCTGACAGCCCTGGAGTATCCCAGGTCCTCCTTCCAGCCCTTTTTGTGGCTGGGTGTGAGGAAGGTGTTAAACACCTCAGCCTTTTCCTCATCTTTGCTGACTCTGTTCCCTCCCTGCCCAACCAAGCATGGAGGTTTTCCTTGTCCTTCCTTTTTCTATTGATGGATTTGTGGAAGCACTTCTTGTTATCCCTGACAGAAGTGGCAAGATTGAGTTCAAATTGTGCCTTTGTCTCCCTAATTTTCTTCCCACATGACCTGACTATATTCCTAAACTCTTCCTGAGTATTCATGAAATGCAACTGCAAAGAGTCCTGCAGTGTATAATTGTGATAAATCCCTCAAAGTGCAGCAAATTATGCAAATTAGAGTGGCACAAAGTCCTGGAAAATGCAGCTGATCCTAGAAAATGTAACTGTAACAAGTTCTGGGATATGAAACTGTGATAAATCCTTCAATATGGAACAAATCCCAATATTTGGAATGGCAAAAAGTCCTGAAAAAAAGAACTACTCCCCAAAAATGTAGATTTATCAAGGCCTGAGATATGAAATTGGGATAAATCCTCCAATACGGAACAAATCCTGCAACAAGTCACACAGAATGCAACGAATCCCAGACCCTGCAGTCGCACCAAATCCCTCAATGGGCACCAAATCCCACAAAACGGGATTACAGCCAATCCTGCAAAAGGCAATTGCACCAAATCCCACCAAAGACGATTAGGGAAAGTCCTGCCAGAGGCAACGAGCCCTGGAAAAGGCAACGGGAACAAACCTCGGGATCTTGGTGGCAGCAAACCCTCAATAGGCACAAAATCCAGGGATATCCCATTGCAGGAAGTGCTGAAAATGCAACCAGTCCCCTAATGGGAAATGGCAACAAATCCCATAAAATTCATGGCAATAATCCCCCCAAAATGCCCCAAATCTTGCAATATTTGTGACAAGAAATTTTTTCAAAATGCTACAAAAAATGCAATTGTGACAATTTTTTCATTTTAATCTTATTTTTTCCTTTTTACTGTTAACTTTCAAATTTCTTCAGTTTTGTATTTTGAAATTTTAACGTTTACCTTTTTTAAATTTAATTTCTTGGGGTTTATTTACAACATTTCATCGGAAAAATTTTCGTTTCAGTTTTTGATTTTCGCTTTCCCTTCATATCATTCCTTTACCCAAAGTGTTGGGCTGTGAAGCCCAGCTGTGAGAAATCCTGAGATATCCCATCCCAGCACAACCCTGGAGCTGTTTGGGGTGGATTTTTGCATCCCAAATATTCACATTTCCGCCGGCAACGAGCCCTGACCGGCCACATCCCTTAAGAACGAAGCAAAACTTCGATGGTTGGGCAGGTTGGAGCTCGTTTCACTCCGCAAGAGGCCGCGGGCGATGGGCCCAGGAGCGCGAATCCTAACCCGGGAGAAGGGAAACGTGGATCCATCCCTCGGGAAGAGGGGAAAACCCACCCCGGGGCTAGCGGGAGAGGCCGGGATGCTCCCGGCAGCGAGTTTGGAGGCGTTCAGGAAAATAAACCCCCCAAGCTGCTGCGGCCTGAGCCGGGTTTTAAAGGGAACTAAAAGCAAAACCTGCTCCTGGAAAAGCTCCCGAATTGTTTGGGTTGGAGCCAAGGAAACGGCGGCGGGAGGTGACGCCCGGCCGGCCCCGCCGCGAAGGTTTCGCTCTCCACATCCCTCCAAAACACGGAAATATTTATCAGTTTTCAGGTAGATCCCGGCCAGGATGTGAAACTCGGCGTTAAAGCTCCCACAGGGGTTTTTTGCAACCCAAGATTCCCCCGGGAGGAGTCTCTGTCCCGCTCCGGTGGCGACAGTTGGAGCATCCCCTTCCCCGGTATCCCCTGGCAACACCCCCGAAAGCTGCAGCATCGCCCCCTCCCCGCTCTGGGCTATTTTTACTCGTTGATCAGCGGGATAAAAGAGGTTACGAAAGCAGACGGGACGTTCCCTGCGCTTACCATCGGATATCCAGGGAGAGCTCCGTGCCCAGCACGCACACGGTGCTGGTGGGGTGCTGGATGGACAGCTGGACACGGCGCTGCTGGGCCATCGCGGCGGCCCCGGGAGCACCCTCGGGTGCTGCGCAGGCTGGCACGAGGGGATTTATAAAGCCTGGCCGCTGGGAGGGGATCAGCCAAAGCCCGGCTTAATCCCACCTCCGGGCTGGGCGTGCGCGGGGTCCGGCCGTGCTTCCCGGCGGGGGAGCGGGAATCGGTGCGGGGGGAAGCGAACCCCGAGACGCCCCCGGGGGGAGCGGCGGCTTCTAAGAAGCCCAGGGGTGGGGGTCGCTTTCCCGTTAGCACAAAGAAACACTGATGCGAGCGGTCACCCTTAAACCCACGCCGTGAAATATTCAGGGCGACACCGGAGCCGAGCTGGGGCTGTGCCAGCGCAGCGCTCGGGGGGGGCTGATTCCTCCCTCTGAAGGGTTTCATTTGTTTAACTGGAACAATTGCCTTTCATTCTTATTTTAGACGAGGGTTGAAGGTGCTCGTCCCGTCCTCCGGGTGCCGCGAGGGGTGGGGATGTCACCTGAGGGACGCCTGACCCCCGGCGGGTTTAATCGCCTTTGTTTTAATTAAATCCTCGTCGCGGCGTGGGAGAGCCCGCTGTCCCGCAGCTGTTCCACCGCCACCTCCCCACGGGGTCACGCGCCGCCAGAATTTAATATCCCTCCTCAGGGCTCGGCAAACTCAGCAGCGTTTCACAGGGAAAATGGGCTCAGAAAGCGGCTTTTTGGACAAAAAGAGGGGTGTTCCATGGGATGTGTGACCCTTTTGGGAGCGTCCCCTCCCCAGATCCTCCCGCACCGTTCACTGCTTGGCAGGAGTTTGAAGTGGAGGTGCTGTTACACCTCTAAAACATTCCTAGGAAAGCAAATTGGCCAAAACAAGTGGGTTTAGCCCCAGAATAGCTCCCGAGGTTGCTCAGGGCTGAGCCGTGCCCGGGGCACGGGCTGGTTTCAGTTCCTCGTGCCAGGCACAGGGAAACGTCGCGCTCCGCTGGCGATGAAAGGAGGGAGACAAAGAGCGGCCGGGCTGAAGGAGACGGAAATGTTCTCCTTGAAAAGGTGTCAAATGATCTGGATGAGGAGGAGGGGCTCTGCCTCCACACCGGGAGCCGGGGTGCCCAGCAGGAGGTGGTTTTTGGCCAACACAGGGAATTTGGGAGGGGATTATCAACTCCAAACCTGCGATGTGGGACTGTAAGACCCTTTAGCAGTGGGGGAGGTCTGAACACACCAGAGCAGCTTCCTTGTCCCGGGCTGTCTCCTGTAAACCCCCACCCCACTCCTGACACAGACCCACATGCTTAAAAACAAAGTTCAAAGGACATTGCCAAGCCAAGAGCAGAGGAAGGAAGGATGGGAGATGGGGAAGAGCTGCACCTTTGGTGTTCAGGAAGGATGGGAGATGGGGCAGAGCTGCTCATGAAGGACAGGAGATGGCAGAGCTGTGCCCTTGGTGCTCAAGAAGCTTTATTGGCAAAACCCTTCATTTTGATGCATCTTCCGATGCACCAAATGCAGCTTCAACCCCCAGTGGCAGGACCTGGGTGTGTCTCCAGGGACCTCAAGGCACCACGTGCCACCACTTGTAGGGGAAGGGCTTCCTGCGGACGTTGGTGCCGCAGTGAACGTCCCCGGACAGGACGTGGTAGGAGAAATAGTCGTCGATGAAGGTGCAGGTGAGGCCCAGGGGCTCGAGCAGCTCCCGCACGCGCTGCTCCAGGCAGCACTGCCCGCCCACCACGGGCCCGAAGGGCTTGGGGATGCCCAGGTGCCTGCCCAGCACCAGCATGTTCACCTGGGGGGACAGACAGTGGGGTTGGCCACCCTAGGTGGGGCTGTGTCAGGGTTGGGGGGGAAGGAGGGGTCGGAGGCCTTACCATGTCCGGGAAGAGGGCGTCGGCACGGGAGCCCATGAGGATGAAGAGCTGGGGGATGTCGATGATGTCCTGCTCGCTCAGGCCCAGCTCCTGCTTCAGTAGGTCACGGTTCCAGTCGATGCAGCGCTGAGGGGAAAAGGGACCCGGAATTGCCACCCTGGGCCGTCCCAGCTCCTCAAATCCCACATGTGGGGATCCTGCATCCTGCCTGGATCCTCACCCACTCCATTGCATCCCACCCCATCCCTCTGAGCAACTCCCACTGCATCCCCAACCCGAGCAACCTCTTGGTGCTTCAGTTGTCCTTCTGTGTCACCTGGGGCATCTGCCAGAGGGACAAAGGCCTTGGGGTGACCAGCACTGCCTGGCTCCTTCCTGGCTGCTCTCCTTGCCCACTCCTGCCATTGCCCAGGATCTCTGCCCCCAGGAATGACCCAGCTGTGCCATGGGAGCGAGGAGAGCGGATCCCCCCAAGCCCAGGGCTCACAGACCCACCTGCACGTGCCTGTTGTCGCTCTTGAGCGACTCGTCCGCCAGGATCTCATCAATGCTCCTCCTCTCGCTGCCCTTCAGCCCTGAGCGGGGGTGGGAGCAGTGAGGGACATGGGAAGGGACACAGGGAAGGGACGATGGGAAGGGACACCAGGGATGTCCTCACCCCCTTACCAATGAACTGGGTGGCTTCCCCGTGGCCCTGCCTCTGCTTCTCCTTGAAGAGCTTGTAGCAGGCGTTGGGACTGGCCAGGAGGAGCCGGAATCCCTGTGGGAGAGAGCCCAGGGGTCATGCTGTTCTATCCCCCCATCCTTTGGAGAGACTCCCAAATCCAGCCCCAGGCATCATGGGATGCCACCCACAGACTTCTCCTCTTGCAGGAAGACCCCCCAAAGGCAGCTGCCCCCCCATGTCCCCGTGGAGGCCCAGCAGCTGCATCAGGGCTGGCTCTGGCTCCCACAGGAGCAGGGAGGCTCCGGGGCTCGGTACCTTCCTGTCGAAGGCCGGGACGAAGGTGAGGAATTCATCCACGTGGCCCACGCTCAGCCACTCCGAGTAAACCTCCACCGGCGCCTGCACCTTCTGGGCGTACAGGAAATCCCGGACAGCCTTGGACATCCTCCGGCCCGCGGCCCTGCGGGCACAGGGAGCAGGGGAAGGTGGGCAGCCATCGCCCCCTTCCCCAAAATTCACCCCCACCCTGCCCTGGACAGCAGGGGAGGGGGAGAAGAAACATCCAATTTTTGTGGGAAACATCCAATTTTTATGGGAGGCTGGAAACAGTCCAAGCTGTATTATATATATCAAGATATAATTTATGTTCATTTTATATGTATGTATATGAATATATGTTTATATATGCATTTATATATAAAAATTTGTATCCAATTAATATAAATTATATATTAATCTACATTAATACAGATATATCTATCTAATACCTCAATTATATATCATTAGAACTATGTTATATATTATTGTATGTTACTCATTGTTGTAAATATGTTATATATTAATCTCTGTTATATATAAAAACGCATTACTATATCCCTATATTATATATAAAATATATTACTATATCATTATATTATATATAAATATATTAATATATCCCAATGTTAAGTATAAAAATATATTACTATATCCCTGTGTTATATTTAAAATATATTACTATATTATTATATTATATATAAATATATTAATATATCCCTATGTTATATATAAAAATATTAATACATCCTCATATTATATATTATATATTATATATTATATATTATATATTATATATTATATATTATATATTTTATATATTATATATTATATATATTATATATTATATATTATATATTATTTATTATTTATTATATATTGTATGTTATATGTTATATATTATGTATTATATACTACTTAAGATATTAATATATCAGTATAAATAATACAATATATAAATATGTTAATACATCCTTATATAATGCATAAGTATATTAATGTATCCCTCAATTATATATACAAATATATATCTAGGCCATATGTATTTATAGGCAGTGGGTGCATTCCATGCCCTGTTCTTGAGCTCCTTTGGGTTTCCTTTTTCCCATCCCTGTGATTCCCAAATCCCTCCTCTGGCAGCGCTTTGTGCGGGGGCGAAGTTTTCTTAGACAGACGGCAACAGGCTGGGAAAACATTAATTAACCCCCTGCTAATGAGGGATAATTACGGGCCTAGAGAGGCTGGGAAATGCCATTTCCCTGCTGCCGGATCCGCGGGAGCAGTGGGAGCATCCCGTCGGTTATTCCGGCCCAGCCCAGCCGGGATGGCTCCTGCCCTGTTTGTCCCGGGCAATCCCCTCCTCTGCGGAGGGAGGGTTCGCTGCTGTTCCCGCGGCACCAGGCACCGCCTGCCCGAGCAAAGCCACTGCCAGTTCTTCGGGATTTGACCCTTTCCTAGACTTCCCTGCTCCTCTTTTTAATAAGTCAGGAAAAAAATTCCAAGCCTGGATGCGTCCAGGATGGGAGCAAACACCACAGGCCTGGGAAGGGGGAGGGTTTTGTGAGGGATGAAGGGACAGCGACGTGGTTCCCATGTCAGGTCTGGGATTTGGTGGCAATTGGCTCCTGATTCTCATTTTGACTCCAAGTTTCCTCCGTGAGGGGTGTCCCTTTTCCCAGGCAAGGATTTTCGGTGCTTGCCCACATTGCAGAGGGAGGGCTGGAGCCCCCCAGCTCCTCACCAAGGCAGGGGGCTGCCGATCAGGATCCTTCCCAAGGGATACTCCTTCCCTCGCACCGTCACCGGGGGACTGACGTCCAGGTTGCCGAAGGAGTCCAGGCTGGTGATGTTTTTCCCGGGGGGTTCACGGGTCACGTAGCCAAAATCAGGGCCCTGGGGAAGAGGAGGAGGGAAGTGGTGCCAAGGACCCTCCATAGGGGGAATTTTGGGGGAAGAAAAGGGCTTCAGCTGCAACGACGCACCAGGATCTTCTTAAAGGCAAAATCCTTCAATCCTCTGTTCCTGGGAGAGTCAAAGACTACAGGGAAGGTCTTGTGTGGCGCTTCCACGTAGCCAAACTCCAGCTCATCCTGTGGTGGGAAGAAGAGGAGGAGGAGGAAGAGGAGGAAGGCTCCGGGCAGGGTGATAGGCATCTCCCCAGGGATGTGGGGAGGGTGGAGCAGGAAATGGGGTGAGCCCGTCACAGCTCAGCTCTCGCCCTGAACCACAACTGCCTGTCCCAGGGGTGACACCCCACCCAGCACGGGACACCCCCGGGAACAATACGGGCCCACGACAGGCAGGAAGAGGGGCAGGGATGAGGGACAGGGAGGGCACTGCCCACTGGCCACCCCCTGTCCTCCTGGGGGGGCACAGGGGGGCCTTCCTGCAGGGGAGACCCTCTTGTACAGCCCCAAGGGATCCCTTTTGCAGTGGGGTCCCTCTCACAGTGGAGACCCTCTTCCAAAGCTCCAGGGGGTCCCTTGGGCAGTGGGAACCCTCTCGTAATATTTCATGGGGTCTGTTTTGCAATGTGGTTCCTCATGGAATGTCCCATGGGGTCCCTCTGGCATCAGGGCCCCTCTTGCAATGTCCTGTAGGGCCTCTCTTGCAGTGGAGACCCTCTTGCAATGCCCCACAGGGTCCCTTTTGTGATGGGGTCCCTCTTGCAATGCCCTTCGAGGTCCCTTTTGCAACAGGGACCCTCTTGCAATGCTCCCATGGGATCCCTCTCAGTGGGATCCCTCTGGCAGAGCCCCACGGGGTGTCCTCACAGTGGGAACCCCCTCTGAAAGTCCCACAGGGTCTCTTTTGCAGTGGGGTCCCCCTTGCAGTATCCCTTGGGGTTCTTCCTGCAATGAGTTCCCTCTTCAAAATCCCGTGGGATCCCTCTTGCTGTGGGGACCCTCTTGCAACGCTCCATGAGGTCCCCTCCTGCAACGGGATCCCTCATGGAATCTCCCATGGAGTCCTTCTTCCCAAAGTCCCAAGGGGTCCCTTTTGCAGTGGGGTCACATTTGCAATGCCCCATTGGGTCCCCTCTTGCAGTGGGGTCCCTCTTGCAGTAGACATCCTATTCCAAAGCCCCACGGGGTCCCTCTGGCAATGAGGCCCCTCTTCCAATGCCCCATTGTGTCCCTCTTCCAGTTCCAGGATTCCTGGACCCCTTCCCTGCCTGTGCTGGTTTCCACCACCAGCAGCATTTCCCTGGGCTTCATTTCCCAGCTGCCTGGTCTATCCCTGGCATCCGAGTGCTTCCCAAGCAACCAGTCCCTCCAGGGGGTGCCAGCATTGGGAGTGACACCTTATGTGCTCCAAGAGCCTGTAAGGGACCAGAAGAGCCACAGAGAACAAGCCTGGATTGATGGACAAGCCTGGACTGATGGACAAGCACGGATTGATGGACAAGCACAGATTGATGGACAAGCATGGATTGATGACCTGGATCCAGCGGTCGCTCCGGGTGTCCTGCTCCGAGCAGATGGTCAGCTTGCAGTTGGCTTTCTTCAGCAGGATCTTGATCCCTTCCAGAAAGGCCTCATTGGAATCTGAGCCCTGCTTGATGCTGGAGGGAGAGGGGGGACTGAGGAGTAGGACCACGAGAAGTTCCCACAACCCCAACCATGCAGCCCATTCCTCCCTCCTAAACACACTGGGCAACAGTCCTGCATGGGACAGACCTGGAGAGCAGCCTCCAGCCTTTCTCCTTGGCATTGCAATAACAGTGACATCGGGCTCCATTCCCAAATATCGCTCCCAGTACTGGATGCACAAAGCCTGGCTCACCCCATTGTTGCTGCACCACAAAGAAGGGCCTAAAACTCCTCCTTGAAGAGTCCCCCAAGGCAGGAGAGCAGTGGAGTGACACCCCTCCTACCTGCAGACAAAAACCTCCAAAGGCTGCTGGGTGTTGGGGGTCATTATCCAGGGAGCCACGCGGAAAACCACTGTATCCGTGAAAATCGGGGTGCCCGGGGAATTCTGTGAGGGGCAGAACCAGCAAGGAGCAGTGCTTGGAAACCCAGCCACTGAGGGAGCTCAGGGGACGGGGCAAACCTCACGTACCTTGTGGGGGACTTCCAGCAAGCTGGCACTGAAGGAAACCAGGCCCGAGAAGCCCCTGTCAGGGAAGGCCAACCCTTCCACGTAGAAGGTGTTCTCCCCACTGCCGACGGGGTCCAGCACGTAGGAGAGCTTGTCCGGCCCCAGCACGGGCTTGTAGTGGGGGTGTGAGTCACTCCCTGCAGAACCACCAAGACACCCCCAGGACACGGTGACCAACCCGCCCTGGGCTGGCAGGAGGCCCCGGCGGGGCCGATGCCCGCGCGGTTGGAGGGGAGCGGGAGTGCCTCCTCTTCCTCCCTGGGGAACACACTTGATCTTCCTGGGACAAAGAGGACTCCGTACCCTCAGGTCCAACCCTTTCAAGGTGCGTGGCTCGAGTGAAGTATCTAATGATACCCTTGGCTGCCCTGACCTGATTTTCAGTGGGGACCTGCCAGGGACGGAGCTGCTGGGGCGTTCAAAGGCAGAACGGGATGGGCTGCTCTGGGGTTTGGGTCACTGCCCATGCCAAAGGGGTGCTGGGCTTTCTGGTCCACAGGAATGTCAAAATTTCATCAATCTCATGGGGAAAAGCCTTTTTTGATCTTTTTTCCCCCTTGATTTTTTCCAGGTAGCCCCACTTTCCACTGCAGCAGAGGATCTTTGGGGATAAACGAGTGTTTCCGGCAAATGGAGGTACCCCAATGAATGGAAAATTTAGGGTTTGCTCACCTTGGGGTTGTGTTCAGATATCTGGGAAATAAGAAGGAAGGAATACTCACGGATAGCATGGAAAACCCGCACTTTATCCGCATCCGTCTCGGAGACGTGCAGGACCACCTGGTACTCGGCAAAGGTGGCGCTGGGCCCCTGGGTCCTCAGCAGCATGATGGACATGTCCTTCAGGTCTGGGGGGGAAAGGTGGAGAGAGGGGGCGTGGAGAGAGGGGATGGAGGTGCTGCCAGTGGGAAAGGCCCCAGTGAGTGCCCTTGGGTGCCCTCAGGCCGTGGGTGACACCGACCTGCGGGGGTCCGTATGTCCGCCTGGCTGCTGTCCGGCCCCCCAGTGCCGGGGCTGTCCCGGTCACAGTTGACCAGCAGCACAGCACCGTGTCCATCCGGACCCCATGTCCACTTGGCCTGGAGGAGAAGCACCAAAAGAGGATTAGAGCAAAATTCCCCCCACGCCATCCCATCCTCCTCACTAACCGGGGAAACGCCCACTGTCCTCCACGCTTAGAGGACAACCCAAACGCCAGTAATGCTTTCAAGGCACTAAGCTTCTGAACCTCAGCTTCTAGCAGGGCCAGCAAAGACTATTTGGAAGAGATCTTATCTTCTGGCCAGGCAGAAAGTATCTGCCAGGCCTCCTCTGGACAAGGCTGCACCGTTTCCAGAGACACGTCCCCTCTCGATACACGATTTGCGCCGTTGATTGGGCTGCACTTAATTAGCCCAACTTAAGGGCTTGGGCATATGCAGATTTGTTGCTAAAGGGGTAAATCTCTGGCTGTTTGCTAAACTCATTTAGTGGCCTCTTTCAAGTCCAAAAAGGAAAAGAAAGAAGAAAGGAAAGGGAAGAAAAAGCAGAGGGTTTTGTCCTACGGGATCCTCAGGGCTGGACTGGAGACATAGAAAATTTTGGCATGGAATAAGAAAATAAAGTCTCTTCCTCCTCAATTAGTAGGTTGAGGATTTCCCAGGTTATTTGCCCTAATTCAGACACCACCCAAGTCCCTCTCCTTCCTGGAGATTTTCAGGGAAGAGACTACAAATGGATAGGCCAGGACTGCCCCTCCAGCAAAGCTCCTCGTTACCTTGTCCTTCCCTTTGCTCTTCACTCTGCCACTCCGGCTCCAGTCCACGTCCAGGGACACATCTGAGGTATCAAGAGAAGGAACCACGGGCAGGAGAACGAGCTCTTGGTGCCATTTTGGGCTCATCCAGCACCAACCCCACCTTCACACCCCAAAGCTGCTCCAGACCCAACATCTCCAACAAAACGCTGGTAGAAAATCCAACCCAATGGCTTTTTCATGGCTTTCCCCCTTTGATTTCCAGCTGCCTTCTCCCATTTTGGTTCCCAGCTGGGACATTCCCATTTTATGGTGTATTTTATGTTTTCACCAATTTCACATTTACAATTGTGTTTTTTACAAAGCCAAAACATGGTGGAGGCACAAAAAAGTGTTTTCCCTGTGGTTGAGTGAACACCTAAATAATTCCAAGGCTTGATGCAACACTTCAGAAGGACTATCCCTCCTGTTCTTGGCCCAAATTTCTGCCTCTGCTGCTACAAAGCAGAGGCTTACCAGCAATCTCACCCAAAACCTAATAAAAAACCTCCTCTGAGCGGGATATGCCACATATGGAAAATACCGGGATTAAGCAGAGAGGAGGACATGGAGAAGCTGGGAAGGAAAGTCTAAGTCTAACCATGAGAAGAACATTTGCAAGGCCAAAGCCCTGTGGCCGTGATAGCCCCAGATGGCTCCAGTGGAGACCATCAGCTGAGGGACGTGGGAAACCTTCAGCCTCCTCAGGCCCAATTTTGGGAGGCACATTCATGACTTCAGGACAGAGGTGTCATGTGAGCGCTTTAGAAAATCCCAAATTTGGGGTAATTAATCCATCCAGGTCGAAGGCTTCTGCATCCAGACCGGTTGTCTAGACTCCCTTTGTAGTCAGCAGGGAAAAACAGGCATCTGGAGGGAATGATTCATCTCATCCTAAACTTCTAAAATAGGTCAGACAACACTTTGGTGCCCGTCCCTCTCCCCCAACTGCAACGGAGGTCGAGGGGGAGAAGGACGCTGGGCAAAGGTGGGTGAGGAGATCTCCTTTGGATCCTCTTGTCCCAGTGCCCGGTGTTGGCAAGCAGAGGAGGATGCTCGGGGTGTGCTGGGTGGGGACCCGGCCCAGCCCCTCTCTTTTGCACCATATAAGGCAGCGTAATAATGTTTTAATTGTTTCCCTCTTGCTCGTCAGCACCTGTGAACACCCAAACCTCCCCGCGCCCCCCACTTAACTCCCATCCCACGAACCCAACCAGCTCTTGACATCAGCCAGGTCTGGCCCGGGTTTGTGGAACACCTACCGACACACGTGAGGTACAGCCAGGCCACCGCCAGCTCGTTGCCCTCCCGGCCATAGTAGGAGATCTTAACCTGCAAAGACACCCCCACATCATGGCCCATGTCCCAAAAAGCTGAGTGGGGCTTCTCGCTCATTGCATTGACCAACAAGCAGTTCTTGGAGGGTTCACCCAAGCCTTTCTCCATTAATCAGAGTTCCCTGAACTGGTTCAGCACAAAAACGGGCACGGAAACAGCCAAGCTTGGAGGATTTTTGTTGCCTGACACCGGCTTTTGCAACTGCCACTGTGTCATCAGGAGGGTACAAAATGGAGTCTCCTTCTCCTTCTCAATTTCATTCTTGGTACGTGTTAATTACACAATTCTCTTTGGGTTTTTTTCCATGAAAATAAGCCCAGTGTCAGCACTACCTAGTATTGACTCGACTGCTTAGAGGCTGCCCATAACCCTCCCTGTTTTCCCGGGAAATTGGACTCATTTTTCTGGTTTCAGTGCTTAAGAACCCAACTGACCTTATTGTCATTGACGGTCCTGCTGGTGACATCAATTGTCACCACGACCTCTATGTCGGGATCCAGGGGCCACCTGGAGTTAATCATGGGCTTTGTGGTGGGGCTGTGGATGATGTGGACCGTGACCGCTGAGGTGGCGTGGACATCGAATGACGTGGCAGCTTTGGGGGTAGATCTGAAACAGAGCGTTGGGTTAGAGATCAAGTCGTCCCTCCAGTTCTCCTCTGCTTGAACCTGGAATTAAAATCCAGCCTTAACCAGGTGGAAAGGGCTCATAAACCATCTTTGGGTGATGAAATGGTTGAGTTTTCTGCGTCCTATCTCTGTGGTGGTGTTGAGCAAGCAGAGCTCCCGCTGGAGCTCCGGCACGTCCCTCCGTGGTTAAGCCTGAACTGCGAATCGCTGAAGTTTGGGCATCCAACCTCCCTCCACAACACCAAGAAAATGTCCAAAATTTCAGCATCCTGTAACAAAACCCTGACCAAGAGCCAGGATAATTTTTAATGTCAACCATCTGGGGAGATGGTTATCACAGGACCATCCCTTTAGCTGAGAGATGCTCCAACTTGGAGTGGAGCCCAAATCCGAGCATGGAGAACCCACACCCCACCTGCATGACATCCTTTGGCAGCCTTTGAAGTGCTGCCTACCTGCTCATTACAGTCCCAGCACCTCCATCCCGGGAGCATGAGTGCTCCGACCTGTCTGCCATCGGGAGCCTCCAACAAGGAGCAAGGTGGGAAATTTCAACAGCGAAAACAAAAGGGAGAACATCAAAAAACTGACACAGAGGAGATTTATTGCCGGTGTTGCTCTTGGCACGGCATCCCTGCTGCCTGCAGCAGCTTGTAAGGGGAGATTAAAGCATCACCTCCCTTGTCATCCCCCATCTCTAACGTCGTGTAACGTCACAAATCCACCTGCACAGTGTTGGATGTCGTGACTCCTCCAGTCTGGGTCTATTTGCTCTGGTTTTACAGCCCTGGTTGTAAATCCATCTGAACATTGTTGGATATCATGACTTCTCCAATTTGGGTCAGTTGGCCCTGATTTTACTGCCCTGGTTGTAAATCCACCTGCGCATTGTTGGATGTTGTGACTTCTCCAGTTTGGGTCTATTTGCCCTGTTTTTTCAGCCCTCCCACCTCATCATCACCAGATTCCCACCAAACTCCATTTTCTGCCCCAAAACAGCCCAAACCACAGTCAAAACTTGATGCATCAATCACCAAGTTCCCCCCAGCTGGTGCTGTCCTGGAAGAAAATGATCTCATTTTTTTAGTGGAAAAAGCATCCACCATCTGCTTTCTGGTCCAAAGCTCAAATTTGCTACAGAGGAGCCAAATCAGCCCATTTTGGGGCTCAGGCCTCATGTTTAAATAGATCTGAGTGTGCTTTGAGTCCTAAACCAGGAAAAAACTTGCAAATAGGTTTTATATATTCCCGTCTGGATGAGGGAGAAAATAAGACTCTTTTAGGGCAGGCAAAGCTCAGTGCAAAGCCCTTGGAGGGGGACGATGGCACATCCTGGCCCGGCTCCAACACACAACCCCAATAATTGCTGTGATGCCGACTGACTCGTCCTGTCTGTATCATTATAAAACTGATTTATTAAATAATGACCCTGTAACAGCAGGGTAAACACAGCCTCGTATCTGACCAATAAACCAACCCCTGTATTTAATTCCGGAAGAATCTCCTCTCCTGGAATTGCCCGTGCAAAACCTGCCGGTGGATTTTTTCTGCCTGAGCCACGCATTTTATCCTTCAGCCCGTTTTAGCTCCAAGTTGCTGAGCTTGAATTGCTCTTGCCCAATGTTTTCCCAGCCAGAAATAGATCCGGGTTTAGCCAGGGTGTGCTCAGGCTTTGCCTCCAAACCGTCACGGCTCGGTAACACTTCGACGCCTCGCCAGAGCCAACATCCTTCCCCGGGGGACGTCCCCCTGGAACATGCCCGGTGAGACATGGCCCTCCGAGTGCTGGGTGAGCTGCTGCTGTGGGCTCTGAATGAGCTCTGAGCTTTCCTCACTGCTCCAAAACACCGTTGGGCTCCTCCAAACCCCACCAGCCCTATGGAAAACGGCGGGAATCCCCCAGCCCGACCTTACCGGCGTGTGTCGAGGAAGACCTCGGTGCCCAGCACGCAGACGCCGTAGGTGGCGTGGCTGGTGGACATCTGCATGACGTGACGCTGGGGCATGGTGTGCCGGGCACGGCGGCTGCATGGGAGGGAAGCTGCTGCCTGGCTTTGCAGGGAAACCAGCAGGACTGGATTAAAAGGCAGGGGAATTTAACTCCTCCTTCCCTCGATGACGGGGCTCGGCCAGGGGACCCTGCCGTCTCCACCTCCAGCACCTCCAGCACCCAACGAGCTGCCGCCCCGCTTGGGGAGATGGAGGCGATAGGGCGGCCCCGGGGAGGGGACACGGGGCAGAGGTGACACCCAACCCTGCCCTGGGATGCTCAGCACTGAGCTTTTAGGGATTCCTTCTCCCCCTTTTCATTCCTTTACGGCTCCATCTAAACCCTCCAAGGCTCTAATGCATTAAACATGTGTTACTCCTCTGGCAGCACGACGGGCTTGTTTGGGGTTATTACAATATTATCATTGAAATGAAGCTTTTTCTTTAAAACAACCCAAATTTTCCGTGTGGCCTCTGCACAGGTGACTCACGGCCTCGGCTGCAGCATCGGGGCAAAGCCTGAACAAAGTTGGACTAAAGGAAATGTTTGCTCAGGTCGCTCCTTCCCATCAGAAGGAGTCCCGAGGACAGGAGACGGGCAGAAACGGGCACAGGGAAAACTGCTTGTTTGGCAGGGAAGGGGAAAACAACAAACAGCAAACCAACAGGAGGCTTCCCATGGAAATTAAAAGTTGTCAGCGTTTCGCTTGGACCTTGTGTTTCAGGGGATTGGGATTTTTTGGGCAAAGATCCCACGGGAATCATCCCCTCTGCTGGAAGGTGGCATTGCTGGAGATAGCCATCTCTCTCCAGGCCATCCCAGGAGGATTTGCCTGCCTGCAAAGAGGAAGCCAGGCAAGATTAATCTCGTTGAGGTGGGAAGGAGGTCTGGAGGATGGAGCTGAGATGGAGGAAAAGGCAACACAGGGACCGAGAGTGTCCCATTGCCACGTGGCTCATCCTCATGTGGGGATGTGTTCAGTTTAGGGATGCAATGGGCAAGAGAGGGCTGGAATCAGGAGAAACCCAGTTTTGGGAGTGGCAGGAGCCCCTGGGAGCTGGGAAGGTCCAAGTGAGCTCAGCAGAGTTGGGGCCCCCATCCCCGGCAGGGCAGTGAACGGCGCGTGCTCAGCCGGAGGAGCCGCCGTTCCCTTGGGAGATCAAACCGGCTGCTTTACACATCTCCCAGCCAGGACACATTAAAGGGCTCCCTCCGACTTTAATTGCAGCAACAAAACCCCAACTCTGTGTCTCAGATGCAAGAAGGGCTTTAATAAGCCTGTGGGAGCCTGGAGGAGCGGTGGGATGCTCCGGTGGGGAACACCGGCAGAGTTTCCAGGCTCTCCCAGAGCTCTCCTTGCCAAAGATTTCAGATAAAACCCCATTTTCCAAACGCCAGCCCAATCCAAATTCCTGGTGTTCCTAGATTTGGGAATTGTGTTGGTTCTCAAGGACCTTGTGGATCCCCAAAACTTGGAGCTGGGCAGAAGCAGAGCTGGAAAAGCGAGTGAGGAGCTCCCAGAGCATCCTCTGAGGATGAGTTTGGCCACGGCAGCATCTCTCCTGAAGGGAGCTGCAGGTTGGGCTCCCCACTCGTGGCTGCTGGTCTCACTGGTTTGGACTGGGCACGGTGCTGAGCTTGCTGCCTGCTGGGATTGGAGCCCCGTATCCTGCTCGGCTGGTTCCCGGTGCCGGACAGGGAACACACCTTAATCCCCACAGGGTCAGGCCGGCATGGTCTGTAATCTGCAGGGAGGGGGAGGACGGTGGTTTTGGGCTCCCAGTGAGCACCAGGGCCTTCAGCAGAGAGTGTTTCTCCAAATCCCCCTGGGATCACCCCCATGCAGGAGGGATGGACACGCAGAGCCCAGAGCGCAGAGCTCCCATCCCCGTCGGGTCTGGGTGGATTTTTCCAGCACGGTCAGTCCCGGGCGTTCGGAGCCGCCACTATCCCTGCGGAGGCTCGGGCAGGCCCCAAACACCTCGTCTGGGTTGGGTGGGACCTCCATTCCCCTCCTCTTCCTCCTCCACCTGCTATTAGCCCGACATGCCCGTGCACAGGCAGAATGAACATTTTAAGTCATCGGGCCCATTCAGAGCTGAGTGTTTCTTCCTAATAACACCTTGTCCTGAGAAAGTTGCCATTAAGATCCCTGGGACATGACAGATGGGATCCTGCCTGTCCATCAAACTGCAGGAGCTCGGCCCACCTGCTTTTGGGCCTGACTTTGGCTTTTGCCCAACATCAGCCTGGTTTTAGCCACGACTGAGCCAGACCTGACCCCCCTCAGTGCTGCCCCAGGAATCCCATTAATAGCTCAGATCCCTCTGGGGCGTTTCTTCTCACCCATCCTGCACCACCACTCCGTCAAGGAAAGTTTGATAATCTCCCTAAGCCGATAATTACCCCTTATTTATTACTCTGCATGTCTAATTGCAGGCAGGAACTTTTAAGAGCCATGTCAGCCTAATTACTTGCAATAGGGCAAGACATCAAACCAGTTATCAAGTCCCGCTGGGGTTTGCAGGAGGGTTTATTTTCTTTAGGCACATAGCTGTAACAGCAGGGCTGGAGCATCCCAGACAGCCACCAAGCATTCCCCATCCCAGCTGGAAGACAGGGAATAATGGGGAGACGCTGGTTTGGACTGGTAAAAAGAGCTTTTTGGTGCCAATCCTGGAAAATCTCCCAGCTTTGCAACCAGAAAGCCCCAAAAATCCCCCTCTGTCCTTTCTCCTCCACAAAACGCAGGCGTCTGCCTGCAGGGAGGCTCCATACCATAATCCAGGAGCAAAGCATCCCATAAAACTGCTTTTCCCCGGGGCTGGAGCCGTGCATGTCCCCCTGTGCTCACCCTGCCCACGCTCTGCCCCAACTTTGCATTCAATTGGCTGCCCTATAAATATCCCTATAAACACCCCCTCTCCAAGGCGTGTTGCAAAGACCTCCAGAGGCAGCAGCAATGCCAGGGGTGGGCTCAGCTTTGCCTTCATCCTCCCCAGTGCGTTGGTTTGGCCTCCTCGGAGCTGCCTCTTCCCAAATTCCGGGCAGGAACGGGCAGGAACAGGCAGCGCCTCGTGGCTCTCTCGGGATGGGCACCTGTTTGCACCTCCTAAACATGAAAGGTCAGCTTGGAAGGACTCCATGGGGGAACATTTCCCTCCTACTCATTGGAATAAGGCTCGTGCCTACACGAGGGAGCCACAGAATGACCCCAAAATTCCTGATCCAGCCCCCCCGGGTGTGATCCCCCCAAGGACCCACCTCCGGGTGCTCCTCAGGGAAAACCCTCCGGAATCAGCTCCGTGGGGCTGTTTGCAAGCCCCAGAGCTGGGATCTGTTCCTAGGTGCTGGAAAGGAGGGCAGGCAGAGCTCCCCCAGCAGCAGAGAAGTTCATGCAGAGCAGCTCCTAATCTGGCTGATCTGATCTTAAGACAGACCCAGAGAACTCCTCTGACCAGCCTGACCACAGCCAGGGAACCACGAGCCTCCAGACACCTCCCTGCAGATATCCATGGATATCTCTGTGTCCTGGGAGGCTGTTGATCTCCCACCTGATAGCCCAGAGTGGAGCTGCAGCGCTAAAGGCACTTTTGCCTCCTGAAAACCCGCGTTCTGGCAGCACAAACTGAGGCTGATTTAACAAACCATGGATGGAGTCACCCAGGATTTCACTGAGACGGATCAGGCAGGTCCTTGTGCCTGTTCCCAACACCAGCAGCTCTGTGAACACCTCCAGAGGCTTGCAAAGATCCCAAGAAGCTTTGAAAGACCCCCAAAAGCCTTGCAAAGATCCTAAAGGAGCTTTGAAAGGTCCTGAACAGGTGGCAAAGAAAAAGGGTTGTAAAGTCCCGGGGAAGCTTTAGGAGACCTCAGCAGAGCTGTAAAGGCTCTGAGAACACTTTAGAGCCACAAAGGCTCCCAAAGACCCCAAAAAACCTTTAAGAGACCCCAAAGCCATGCAAAGACCTTAGAAGGCCTACAAAGACCTTGCATGACTGGCAAAGAATCCCAAAGGGTCGTAAGTCACTGGGAAGCTTTAGGAGACCCCAGAAGGGTTGCAAAGACTCTGAGAAGATTTTGAAGACCCCCCAAAGGCTTTCCAAGATCCCAAGAAACTTTGAAAGACCCCACATGGCTTCTAAAGAGCAAACCTGGCTGCCAAAAACCCCCAAAGACAGGGACCAGTGCAGTGGAGGAGAAATGGGCTCTTCCAGCCCCTTTTCCACTCAATCCAGCAGCTCCTCCTTTGGTTTTGCCCTCAAACAGGGCATTTTCCTCTATTTTGTTTTGTTGCCTCCTCCCAGGGAAGCACAAACAAGCCCAAAAATCCCTCAGAGTGACCCAAAAACTCCCAGAACCCCCAGGGTTTCAATCCCATCTTTGTTAGCAGGTAACACTTGCTCCCGTGGGATCACAGTTTTCCTTCTGCCCGGCAAATTCCAGGGGCTGGCAAATTCCAGCACTGTCACACCAAGAGGGCTACAAATACATTAACATATCAATTACTAAAACAAACCAGCTCAAAATCCTGCTGATTTTAAAATTCCCAAGTGATGCCGAAACCCCTTTATGAGATGGGAGGGATTTGGGGTTGGGTTGGGTTGGGTTTTTTTAAGCAAAGGAGGATTTAAATCACATTTGTTCTCTTCCTTGACAACTGAAATACCAGATTTGGGGGGGGACAGAAATTGGGAAGTGAAAATTATGAAAGAGAAGCTGGTTTTCTACTAATTTTCTTCCAAACTGATGATTTTACACCTCTATTTTCCCAGCCCACAGATCGCAGGGAGGTGAGGCCATCCCTGACCACACAATTCCAGCTGTTTTGGGGTAAAAAGAGGGAAAACAAGTTTCCTGCAGTGCTGGACAGCAGAGCCTGCTGGTGCAAACACGAGGTGGTTTTGGTTTCTTTCTATTTTTTCTCTTTTTAAATGATTTCTCTTTCTGGTTCCTCTTTCAGGAGTGTTTGTTTCTCCTGGTGGTTTAAACAGACGAGGGTCACACAGACAAACCAGATGCTTTTTGGGAGATGGAACATATTCCAGGGCAAATCTTGGACTGGGATGTCTAAGCAAGGGGTCATTTGACCCAAATTCCCAATGTTTTTGCATAGCCTGGGAGCAAAGTGTGTTCTATTTTCTCATATTGCTCAGGGAGAACATTTATACTGTTTGAGAAAGTCTCCCTGCTGCCCCAAATCTCATTTTTGCATATGCAGAAAAGTGGCAAAACTGCATCTTTTTTGTGTGCTCAGCAAAGTCCTCGCTCACATTTGCTCAGGTCGTGGCAAAAAAAACCCAAACCAAACCCAAGCCAGGATTTCTTTCATCTGGAAAACTGAATTTGAGCTGATTCCCTGCACCGCGGCCAGCGAGGACTGGAAAAGAGAAGCCCAAGAGGGATATAAATAGGGAACATCACCCTGAACGTTTCTGCTTGTCACTAATTGCTTGTGGCTTCCAAAATCTGGGGCAGAAGTTTGGGTTCTGAAATGAATATTTAGTTGGATGGTAATAAATAATTCAAATGCTGCGTGGGCAGCAATTGCTCCTGCCATGCTCCGTGGGGTGGCAAAACCACCCTGATTTCCCTTCAGCAGCAACTGGTTCCCAGTTTCCCTTTGAAAATGAGCAGGGGGAAAAAAGGGAGAGTTCTGCTCTTGCCTGAGGGCTGGAAAACCGTGTTTCTGCCTCCCAAGAGCAGCCAGAGATTTTCCCTAGAGAGCAAAAAAAGGGCAGATATGCCAAAATCCAAACTGCTGGAAAATCGCCCCCACGTCGGTGATTCCCGTTTGGGGTCACGGAGAGGGTGGAGGGATTTGGGGACAGCTGGGGGAGCTCCTTGCATAGGGTTGAGAGCTGAGCAGGCTTCAGGCCAGCTGCCCTCCCTCTCCATCCCTTCCCTCCCCTCGGAGATCATCTTCCCGAGGCTTTAGAGGGTCCAATCCAGCCTCCCCCTGCCTTTGGGCTGCAGAGTGTCACCTTCAGCCCAGCAGAGCCGGGCTGTGCTCCGAGGAGGAGGAGGAGCAGGGGCTGGGTGCCGGGGGTCGGTGCTGCCGGGGCAGTGCCGGGAGATGCCAGGGAGCCAGGAGATGCCGGGGGGCCAGGAGATGCCGGGGGGCCGGGAGATGCCGGGGGGCCGCACGCTGCGGCTGCAGCCCGGGGACCGCATCGAGGCCCTGTGCGTGCTGGGCTCCCGCATCCACGCCGATGTCCACGGGTGAGTGGGACACCCCAGCCTTCCCTCTGCCTTCCTTCTCACCTTCACCCCTCCTGCAAATCCCCCTCCTCGTTTTCCCGCCTGCTTTCCCAAACCCCGTGGCCCCGACGCCTTTTTGTGGGCCAAATCCACCCTGGGCTTTGCAAGGCTGCGCAAATCCCGGGAAAGCTTCAAGCATCCCCATTTCCACAATGCAGTGTTTACCCCGAGTCCATGCTGGGTTTGATCCGGTGTCATCTTGGAATGCTGCTGGAGAGCGGAGGGATGAGCAGGAGCCACAGGGATGGACTGCAAAGGAAGGGATGCAGCTGGGAGAGGGAAGGAAAACAAGATTTAGCGAAAAAATGTGTCTTGGGAAAGTGGGAAATCCCCACACCACCTTCCCTAAAACAACCCCAATGTTGAATTTCAGGATAATTATTCCCCCCCAAGGGGGAAAAGAAAAAAGTTTAAAAGCTCATTTGGGGGTTAATTCTGGTCTTTGCTGCTTTTGCAAATCTCACCCTTGATATTCAAGCCAAGCAGCAGAGTTACTCCCCTGGCACCTCGCCAGGTCAAATTCCTGGTGGGATTCCCAAAACCAAGAAACAAGGAAACTGAACCAGTTTTTCCATGTGTAATTAAAAGTAATTTAACAATTTCAGAGACACCCAGGCAGGAGCAAAGGAGTGCTCAGGTTTCCTCCCTCCCCCCTCCCCGACGGGGCAGGTTTGGTGGGACCGTCGGCATCCAGAAACCATCTGAGCAATGAAGCCGTAACGGGGATCCGGCACCAGCTCTCGAGTGTCGGGGCAAACAGCCCAAAAATAATAACCTAGAAAGACTGGGAAATTCGGGAAAAGGAGCCAGGAGAGGGGAAGGGGTTGCATGGCGTGGCTGGGGAGGAGCAAGGGCGCCCTTGACTGGGAGCGGTGCAGCACCAACAGCTTTCGGGTTGGATAAAATCACCCCCAAATTAGCTGGATAAAATCAGCCCCAAATTAGAGCTTCCCATGGAAAAGTCAGTGTTGTGATGAGCTGTTAAACACCGGGTTTGCCCTGGCTGGAAAGTAAACAGGGATTTCTCCATTGAAGTGCAAGCCTGAGTTCAATTCCAGCAGCACCAATTAGACTGGGATTATTAGAGATCCTAATCTGCACCAATGGCTACAAATACCAATGTGCTAAACCAGCATCTTTTGCTGGGAAGCAGAAATTCGGGAAAAGGAGCCAGAAGAGGGGAAGGGGTTGTTCGGAGTGGCTGGGGAAGAGAAAGGGCATATGGGACTGGGAGTGGGGCAGCACCGTCAGCTTTGGGGTTGGATAAAATCACCCCCAAATTAGTTGGATAAAATCAGCCCCCCTAGAGTTTCCCATGGAAAAGTGTCTCAGTGGAGTGGCCACGGTGCCGTGATGAGCTGTCAAACACCGGCTGGAAAATAAACAGGGATTTCTCCACTGAAGGGCATTAAACCCAAGTTCAATTCCAGCGGCTTTGTTGGGATTATTATAGATCCTAATCTACACTGGCTCAAATACTCCTTGTGCTAAAACAGCATCTTCTGCCCTAAAAGCAAAGGACAGCTCAAACTCCCAGGGAGGCAGGAAAGGGCAGCAGGAGCCGGTGGTGAGCGTGGTGACGCCGGCGTGCCCGGTCTTGGCCGTGGAATTAACTGCGGTGAGAACCGAGTGTTTTGGGTGCAAACCTCTCCAAACGCAGAGTGTTTCTGGCAGGGCGGCCCCAGCCGGGGCGGTTTCCTTCGGGGTGAAGCACACGGAGGGGGTCAGTGTGGATGTGGTGTCCCGGGGCCGCGACGAGGCCGAGCCGGTGCCCGGCAGTGGGACGCGGTGGCCGCTGCAGGAGGGGACAGTCCTGAGGTTCAGCATGAGCCAGCCCAGCACCGAGGTCAACGACAACAAGGTGAGGGATGGGACACTGCGGTGTGGGACCTCCACGGATGGCGAACATCCTTTCCCAATCAGGGATCTGGGGGTTTGCAGGTCACCGTCAGCTTTTATGGAGGGGAAGGGAAGCCCATCACCCAAGCTGGGGTCTTCCTCACCGGCATCGGTGAGTACGGAGGCTCCTGGGTGCAACAATCCATCCTCATCCCATTGATCCCTTGGGCGGGTGGGGGGACGGGTAGACCCACGTTTGCCGAGTCTAGGGGGCTTTTTCTCCCACCCAACCTCGCTTTGCCCTGGGATGATGGGTGGGTGAAACCCATCCTGTCCATCCAGGGATCTCCCTGGACGTCGACGCGGACCAGGACGGCGTGGTGGAGAGGAACAGCCCCAACAAGGTAACCCCTCTCCCTCCACATGGAAAATCCACAGGCTTGCCTGAGGCTGAGCTTGCTGAGCCTAAGCGGGCTGTTGTAGGCCAGCTGGAGCTGGGGTCCTGAGGGACACGGGGCCATCCTGCTGGTCGGCTGTGACAAGGAGATTCCCTCCGTTCTGGCGTCCGACTGCGACAACGAGCAGGTGTTCAACAAAGAAGGTAACAGAGCTTCCCAAAAATCCTCCATGATTCCCCCTCTTGAACGTTTTTTGGGACGGAATTTTGCTCAGGAACCAGCTGCTCTCCACCAGCTGTTGGACATGCTTCCCATGTGGGAATTTTTTTGCATTTCATAACACACAAAGCATTTGTGGCCACGCAGAGTCGTGAAGCTGAGCCCAAAAAATCACCAGGGCTGCCTCACGCAGGTGAAAGGAGCTCGGGATGAGGCAGCCAGGAATACACCCACCTGTTCCTGGAAAACTAAAACCACATGGAGCCGGTGCCCATCAGGTTTCTGAGGTCAAGGACGGGCCGTGCCAGGGGTGAGGAGGGAAAATAAAAGCTAAAAAGGGCATTTGTTTCCCAGCACAAGGCACGAGCTTTGCCAGCAGGAGCAGGGCTTGTTTTTCCAGGTTGCGAAGGGTGGTGGCAAGTGAAGAGCAGCTTGCTTGGGAAGGACGTGCAAACTCCAGGAGGGAGCATATAAGACATCTCCTTATTTTGTTGTTTGCCCCCCAGATTTGGAGGACATGGCCCAGATGGTGCTGAGGATGGAGGGGCCCCAGCGCCTGCCCCGGGGATATGAAATCGTTCTCTCTGTTTCTGTCCGTGACGCTGACAGGGTTGGGGTGTTCCATGTGCAGAGTAAGTCCTTCCTCCCCTCCTCCTCTCCCTCCTCCTCTTCTGCCCCTTCCTCCTCTGCCTTATCTGCCCCTTCCTCTTCTTCCTCTACCTCCTCTGCTCCTTTCTTCTCTGCCCTCCCTCCCTGTCAGCCTGGTGGCACTTTCATCCCATGGATGAGCAGAAACTCCATGAAAATGCCTTCCCAGTGGCTGCTCCATCCAAGGAAAGGCCTAGATATTTTTCCTCATACTCACCATCCATGACAAAACTGCGAAATCCTTCCATCCTGTTTTGAGGTGGTTCTAACAAACAAAGTTGTATCTCCACGGAGGTGGAAAAACTCCAGCACAGAGGGACTGTGAGTCCTCCTTGCACAAGGAAATAGGCTTGGAACACCAATGAAAGCTTGGAATTGTCCCATTTTCTCCATTTCCTTGCAGATCCCTTCTTTGGGCAGCGCTATGTGCAGGTGCTGGGCTGCAGGAAGCTCTTCCACGCCGTGTCCTACCCCGGCGGGGCCGCCGAGCTTGACTTCTTCGTCCAGGGGCTCTGCTTTCCCAATGATTCCTTCTCCGGGCTGGTCTCCATCCATGTCAGCCTCCTGGAGACGCTGGCAGAGGTCTGGGAGCTCCAGGGAAGGGGTGCAGATGGGGTCTCTTGTTGCAGCTATCCCAGAGAAGGGGATGGGGAGGGAACGGAGAGTAATCCCCATTAATTAACCCCAAAAACTACCTCAGTGGAAGGGCATTTGGGGGGAATAGTGTGTGGACAGACCCTGATTCCCACCTGCTCCCTCAGGGTATCCCCCACACTCCAGCCTTCACGGACACAGTGGTGTTCCGGGTGGCCCCGTGGATCATGACCCCCAACACCTTGGCGCCGGTGAACGTCTTCCTCTGCAGGTGAGGCCGGGGAGGGCATTCCCAGCCAAACCAGTCCCGGAGACAGGCTGGGCAGAGGGAATATCCACCCTTCATCTCCTTCCCTCCTGCCATCCCCTTTCCCAGCATGAAGGACAACTACCTGTTCACCAAGGAGATCCAGACCCTGGTGACCAAGGCTGGCTGCAAGCTGAAGGTTTGCTTCGGATACACCAACCGTGGGGATCGCTGGATGCAGGTAGGGGGGCTCCAGAGGCAGGGAAAAGCTTTTCCTTCCTGTGCCCCATGCGGGATTTCCTCCCTTCTTCAGGATGAGATTGAGTTTGGTTACACCCACGCTCCCCAAAAGTGCTTCCCAGTGGTGCTGGATTCCCCTCGGGATAGAGGGATGGAGCAACTCCCCGTCAAGGAGCTGCTGGTAAGAGAAGGATTTGCTTGCATTGCCTGAGGAGCAGCTTGCAGGTTTTATTCCTCATGTAATTCCCCACTCCTAAAACCCTCCTGGCACTTGGCTCCTTGGGGGCCATACAAGGAATTGCCTGGAAAATGAGTTTAACAGCTCTGCATGGAGATACCATCCCATCCACTTCCAGCTGGGAGCACACCAACACCCTCACTCCCCCTCAAAGCAGGGATCAGAAGGTGTTGGGTGAGAGAAGAAAGGAGGAGCTCACGCCTCTGGGAATGAAAGATTCCTGCCAAGCTCTGGGACTGGAATTCTTCACCCTCAGCACCCCAGTGGTGGGCTGGTTTTTCCTTTCCTCCCCTATGCCCGTGAATATCCAGCAGCTTCCGAGCAGGAGAGGAAAGGGAAGCATGAGAGGGGTCAACTTACTTCCCTGGAAGAGAACAAGCTGCCAACAGCATCCCCGTGGGGCTTCTTTGCCAAGGCAAAGGGCCAGCCATGGGCAGGGCGTGCCAGGATGGCGGTGACCTCGCAGAGGGCGATTTGGCAGAGCCCAGCAAAGACGAGCATGGAAAAAAAGATGATCCCTTTGAGATCCCACCATGCAGAAAGGGCAGGACACCCCCAAATAGCCACGGAATCGCTGTCCCACACTCCCAGCGGGCGCTGGCAGCAGCCTCAGCCCGGATCCTCTCTCCGCCAGTAACGGGAGAAGAGGACAAGTCACTTTTTTTGTCACTTTGGGGAAGGTTAAGAGCTTTCAGGAGCATTGAAATCCATCTTTTCTCATGCCTGACATGAGTACATAGAGTCTCGGAGTCATGCGGCGGGTGGCAATAGCGAATAAGCGGGTGCCCGCTCGGATCTGCCCTCTTTAGGAATTGCTTTGCTCCCTACTTAGGGAAGCAATTTCAGCCTTGGGAGCCGCTAACACATTATTCTCCGATTTCTGCTTTGAAGCCTCCCCTAATCCCCGCCGCTATCATTCCAATCTCATTTTCCAGCTCAGAATATTGAGCCAAACTCAGCACGCACGGGGTCCTCCTCGCACCCCGGCCAAGCCCTAAGCCCTGGGACCCCGCGCCAGGGAAACGGAGCCGGCAGGGAATTAGCCCCTCAAAATCAACGGGGAACTGATAGGACTTGGATGCGACCTGCAAACCTGGGATGAACCAGTGCCTTGACAGTTGAAACCGGAGGGGCTCCGTGGTTTATTAAACTGAAACAAGCTGAGAGCAGGTGTTTCATGCTCAGTTCCCCTCTCAGCACCCAGAGAGAGGAGCTGATCCCAGCAATCCCCCAGAGACTCCCCAAAACCCCACGGGGAGCCTCGGGGAAAGCTGTACTCTCTCTATCCCGGCTTCTCCAAACACCCTCAATTGAAAAAAGGAATTTCTAGATGGAAGTCAAGCACTCTCGGGTCTCCCTGCTCATTTTTCCCGACCTGTATATTTGGTTTATCCCCATGGAAACCCAACCCTGATAAGTGATTGGGATTTAACTCCAACCTAACAGATACCTGATCTGGTCCCAGGGGCTGCCGGGAGCTCCAAGCCCGTGTTGACTCAAACTGGAGATCAAGGACAGGTCCACAGCAGGAATTGTGTCCCATCGGTGCCATTTTTGCCCTGTTTTTAACTCCACAATCTCCCCTTTAGGCTTTGACACATCACAGCCAAGAGTTAATTACCCTGCACGCACAACACCCTCAGTCCCAGATATATTAAGACCTGGAAATCAGGGCTTAAGCAGGATTTAAGTGCCATACAGCCCTTTGGGTGGCTCTTAGACTCACCCTCAGGGGCTGCAGTTCATCCCACTCAGGAAGAGCCATCCAGAAGCTCCGCTCCGGGGCTGCCCCAGTACTAATTAACCTAATGTGGACACTTAACTGTTGGCTGTGGGATAGCAGAGGAGATGTGGGATCTCAACGCCTCAGCTCTGCTCCTGGATTTTGCCATTTATTCCTCCGTGACCCAGAGACCTGTCTCCTCTCGCCTTTCCTTTCCCCTCTCCTCACCCATGGACGGGCCTCCCTCTTGCTGTGTTTACCCTCCGGAGCAGGTCTGAGCCCGGCTGGAGGATCAAACGCCGGAGGCAGGAGGGACTCAGGGCAGTGATCCCTCTTTTTCCAGGGCTCCGATTTCGGGTATGTGCACAAGGAGCCCCTGTTTGAAGCCATCACCAGCCTCGATTCCTTCGGCAACCTGGAGGTCAGTCCACCCGTGTCCGTGGGAGGGAAGGAGTATCCCCTGGGCAGGATCCTCATCGGCAGCAGCTTCCCCACGTAAGGCATGGGGAACACACGGATTTGGGAGCAAAGGAACCACAAGAGCCCCGAAATATCATCAAAGTCATGTTAATTGGGTTAATTAGACCTTGCCTGAGTGGCTGTGAAAGGGGTGGGCGCGCTCAGTCTCCTCCACCTTGGCGGCTATTTACATCCAAGTACGTGTTGATGGATAAATCCTCATCCTCGCACTCCTTCTCTTGGGGATTTCACTCCCAGATCCACAGGGAGGAGGATGACCAGGATGGTGAGGGACTTCCTCCATGCCCAGCGAGTCCAGGCTCCCGTGGAGCTCTACTCTGACTGGTTGGCCGTGGGCAACGTCAATGAGTTCCTCACGTTCGTGCCCACCTCGGACAAAAAGGTACCCCAAAATCCCACATCCCTTTGGTGTTCCTCTTCCAAGATACTAATCCCATTAGGTCACCTCTAGGAAAAACCCCAAAACTCATTTCTTTGGCACTCCCAACCAGTTTGGGTTTCACTCCTGTCCCCAAAATGAGGGATCTGAGCACAAAAAGGGACTTGCTGAGTGAATAATTAACAGAAACAGAAGGAAAACGATGCTTGCACAGGTAGTCCAAGAACTTTAAACCTCAAGATTCCAATGCAAATCCATGACCCTGGAGATTCCCAGCGGCTCAGCTTCTCCCAGATGTTTCCAGAACATTTCTCTTTCCTCTGTCACAGTTTTTGCTGCATCTGATACAGACTTTTCCCTCAGGAAAACCCTGACACAAGACTTTTCCCTCAGGAAAACCAAGCCTTGACCTGGATGACTCAAAAATGGAATCTTTATGCCCACACATTCCCCACAAACCCTCCAAGCATTAAAAAAGGCACTAAATAGCAGCAAAGACACCTAATTCGAAGAGTTTTAGCACAGGTTCTTTGCAAAACTAAGTCCCTGGGGTCTCCCAAGGTTCTGGAAAATCCCCTTTGGGTGACTCCTCTCCTTCCCGCCTTCCCGCAGCGATTCCGGATGGTGATGGCCAGTCCCGCCGCGTGCTACAAGCTTTTCCGGGAGAAGCAGAAGGAAGGCCAGGGAGAAGCCACCATGTTCAAAGGCAAGGGGACACGGGTGGCTCTGGGCAGGGTTTGGTGTCAGTGGAGCCGCAGTAGCCAGGCCGAGGGCAGCTGGAGGGACAGGGGGACTCGGGGCCACACGGGGACATGGTCCCACCCGGTTGTCCTTCACAGCTGGCAAACGGGATGCCCGCCCACCACCCCCAGCCTCCTCACGGCCTATTTTGGGAAGTGAGTGGGATGGCAGGGATAAAGCCCTCCGCGTGGAGGGGACGCTTGGTTGGTGGGATGGAGCATCTCCAAATGCCAGCGGAGCTCCGGCACGGAGTAGGACAACTGGCAGCTCTCACATTACCCAAATTAGCACCGTTTTGTCGCTTTGGGAATCCTTTCTTTGGGATTTTGATCCGTGATGGGTTTGGAAGCACATCTCCATATCTCCACGGGTCCCTTAAGGTCACTGAGAAGACCCAGGCGGCCCCAAAGCAAGGGGTGGATCCAAATCCTGGTGGTGGATGCTCTGGAGAAATTCAGCAGATAACGATTCCTGTGGGCAGGAAGCTGGATGACAAGACCTTTCCAGTGCTCTTTCCAAAGGGCAGAGCTTTTCTTCCCTCACTTTCCCAATACACTAAGAATTGTGACTCCAGCAGCCCTACTCCAAGCTCAGGAAATTGGGATATGGGGGACTTTATCCATCTGTGTACCCCATCCTAAGCCAGGCTTCATTTTGATGGGACGTTGCATTTTTAGGGTACTCGGGGACAGACACGAAACGAGTCACCATTAACAAGGTCCTTTCCAATGACATCCTGGCACAGCAGAACCAGTATGCCCAGGTAAGAACTGACATTTTTGGTAATAATTTATATTTCTTGCAAAAACTGCCCCAGGGTGGTGCAAAGGGAGGTGGTGTGTTTGGGCTCTTCTCCTGCGTGAGATGGTTTTGGGGACTGTGCCCATGTGTGTCCCCCTCTCAACCTGCCCTTCTCCATCCCCTCCAGCGCTGCATCGACTGGAACAGGGATATTCTCAAGAGGGAGCTGGGATTGATGGAGGAGGACATCATCGACCTGCCCGCCCTCTTCAAGCTCGACAAGCAGGGCAAAGCTGTGCCGTATTTCCCCAACACGGTGAGGGGGTCCCCATTCCTCAGGTCCTCTCCAAAAAGCAGCTTAGTCAGCCAGGATGAGTCCCCAGAGTTGTCCCAAAACAAATCAGCTGTATAGAAAAAGGAAATATCTCCATTCAGCAGGCCTAACATAACTTTGTGGCTTTGTGTTGCTTGCAGTGGGGTTTTAGGCAAAAACCCTCTCAAAGCGGTGAAATTGAGATAGTGAGGTGGGTTTTAATGATAAAAAAGGGAAAATTATGTTGGATTTGGAATTCTGTGGGAGGGCAGCTGCAGAAACTGGTGTTGATGGGCTGAGGGCTGAGGCTGATGGAGGA